CTCCCTATCTCAAAAAATTAGCACATCATGAAAAGTTTCTCTAAACAACTAATTAACCTAATCATCTGAATCAACGAATTAACTCTCTCTAAACACCTGCAAAAGGCTTTTTAAAACTCCCAGCCTGGTTCATTACTCAAAACCACAACCATGGGTAAGACTGCTGACCTGACTGCTGTCCAGAAGGCCATCACTGACACCCTCAAGCAAGAGGGTAAGACACAGAAAGACATTTCTGAACGAATAGTCTGTTCCCAGAGTGCTGTATCAAGACATCTCAGTGGGAAGTCTGTGGGAGGAAAAAGTGTGGCAGAAAACGCTGCACAACGAGAAGAGGTGACCGGACCCCGAGGAAGATTGTGGAGAAGGACCGATTCCAGACGTTGGGGGACCTGCAGAAGCAGTGGACTGAGTCTGGAGTAGAAACTTCCAGAGCCACCGTGCACAGGTGTGTGCAGGAAATGGGCTACAGGTGCCTCATTCCCCAGGTCAAGCCACTTTTGAACCAGAAACAGCAGCAGAAGCGCCTGACCTGGGCTACAGAGAGGCAGCACTGGACTGTTGCTCAGTGGTCCAAAGTACTTTTTTTTTTGGATGAAAGCAAATTTTGCATGTCATTCAGAAATCAAGGGTCCAGAGTCTGGAGGAAGACTGGGGAGAAGGAAATGCCAAAATGCCTGAAGTCCAGTGTCAAGTACCCACAGTCAGTGATGGTCTGAGGTGCCATGTCAGCAGCTGGTGTTGGTCCACTGTGTTTTATCAAGGCCAGGGTCAATGCAGCTAGCTATCAGATTTTGGAGCACTTCATGCTTCCATCTGCTGAAAAGCTTTATGGAGTTGATTTCATTTTTTAGCACGACCTGGCACCTGCTCACAGTGCCAAAACCACTGGTAAATGGTTTACTGACCATGGTATTACTGGACTCAATTGGCCTGCCAATGCTCCTGACCTGAACCCCAGAGACAATCTGTGGGATATTGTGAAGAGAAAGTTGAGAGACACAAGACCCAACACTCTGGATGAGCTTAAGACACAAGACCCAACACTCTGGATGAGCTTAAGACACAAGACCCAACACTCTGGATGAGCTTAAGGCCGTTATCGAAGCATCCTGGGCCTCCATAACACCTCAGCAGTGCCACAGGCTGATTGCCTCCATGCCGCGCCGCATTGAAGCAGTCATTTCTGCAAAATGATTCCCGACCAAGTATTGAGTGCCTAACTGAACAAAATTATTTGAAGGTTGACTTTTTTTGTATAAAAACACTTTTCTTGTATTGGTCGGATGAAATATGCTAATTTTTTGAGATAGGGATTTTTGATTTTTCATTACTTTTTTGCCAAGATCATCAATATTACAAGAAAAGGCTTGAACTACTTCAGTTAGTGTGCAATGAATCTAAAATATATGAAAGTTTAATGTTTATCAGTACATTACAGAAAATAATGAACATTATCACAATATGGTAATTTTTTTTGAGAAGGACCTGTATGTGTGTGAGTATACACACACACACACACACACACACA